TAAGAAATACAGCATAAAATCATCTCTCTTTATTGGTTATAAGCATGGCATTCAACTTAAAACTATCACTTAGCAACACAGCTTTTAATTTGCAAGTGGGCGTGGCTTATCTCCTGGACAAGTTCTTGAAGTGTTCTCCAATTACTCATAAAAAAAAAAAAAACCGTGTACACTGTACTTTGAATGTCTGAGAGAATGTTTATATTATACATACAGTTTCTTCTAAAAGTTGATGTTTGTAACTGCATGCATTTTACATAATAAGAAAAAGCACAGTTTTAAATTATTGTTTTAGAGGTTTCTTTTGAAATAAAGGAATAATAACTTGGATAATATAAAACTTTGAATTATAATGTACATGTAAGTAATAATTTCATTAAAATGCATTGTTAGTAAAGTGGTTTAATTAAATTTTCAATGTAATGCAGTAACATGCACTAAAAATAATTTTAAAATGGTGCTGGTTCTTACATTTCGAATGTAGCTCAGTAAATCCTCATGACATGTGTAGAAAAGGATGCCCATAACAAGAGGGTTAAAGGGACATCATACAGGCTGACATGAGAATGAATCTGAATAGGTTTTTTGTAATTTTGCTTTCATGACGTTGCTGTATCATCAGTTTCAGAGACATCCTTTTGCTGTTTGTGGTTATTTCAAGCTTGATGGAATCTGTGTCTTGTGATTTTTTTGAATATTCTGCCCAACAACCATTAACCATTTCCAGGGTGTCAGGGGTTGGGAGTAATTCAGATGTCACAATGAACAGTATAAAACTAGAAAGATAAAATAATGAAGTACATTCTCTTCATATATATCAAGAATCTATTTATATCATTTCTTCCATTTAGGACTTTGCATGTTCTTTAACAATTATATTTGGTTTAGGCAACCCAAGTATTCCTTTGTTGCCTAACTTTCCTGTTCACAATTTTAGGAGTATTTAAGGTTGGGAAATTCTTTAATTATAAAAAAACCATGGTCTCTCTTTATGGGACTGTTGTATGATATATGTACTTCTGAATTTGTTGTAAACAAAATTCCACCCTCTGCACTGGAGCTGTTTGAGAGAGTGTTGCCCTTTGGAAGTGAACACAGGATGCCACATGATGTCTGATGATGCCTCAGTGGGTAAGTTCCCCACCTCCATGTGCACATTCTTGAGTACCAATCGAGATATTGGAAATGAAACTACCGTTATCACTAGATATTTCAGTTCCAACCAGGATGGGGATTGTCTATGTTTTTATTCTTAATTGTTTATTGTTTATGCTTCCATCACAGTGTCTTTACATTTTTGGTATGAATGAAGAGGGACTACTGCCTCCAGAATAGAACTTTTTATAATACATATCTAGGCTTCTCCCCCAAGAGCCTTCCACTATAGGAGCAGGGACATGGTATTCTTCCTACCTGCTTGTGCCACCACCTGTGTCCTATTGTGGACTCCATAAGATCAAAACACCATTACCAATCTCAAAATTGGTTCCTTTGCATGAATTAAAGGTTGTCATGGATAAAAGAGGTACCTTGCTGAGAAGAATGCCTTCTTTCCAAATGTTCTTTATGTCCTGTTTCTTTTATAAGGCTGGTCTACTACATTCATTCTTACTAGATTCAATTTTGAAGAATTTGTTTGTTGTCCTGAATTCTACTCGGACTCTGCTTGGCTTTTTTGTTGTTGTATATCTTCCCACCCTGTTGTTGTTCATTGGTTCCCACCTCATTTACAATGTGGGTATCCTGACTTTCAGCGTTTCGGGGGTAAGTATGCTTGATTTAAATTTTACATTCATATAATTAAATTTATTTTCAAAAAGGTATTACCTCTGAAATATCTTCCCTCCTGGCTTCCCACAACTGGATTTTCATCACAACTGCAACTTTGAAACATATCTAACTTATGGCAGGAAAGCAGAGCTTATGTAAAATTAATGATGCATGCATAATAAGACATGTTGAAAAGTAACGTTATGGGTGACATATGTATGGTATGAAACTACGTAAAACGCATTTGGAAGTTTTGAGTCACGTTGTGTTCATAGTATTAGCTCAAACCCAACAGTACCTTTTTGATATTCATTTTACTTCTACAAATGTAAAATTGATAAATTATAATCCTACATCAAATATATATATATTAATTTTGGTTATGTTTTTTTATGTTTATTTTAAACAAGCACACTCTGACTCAACAGCAGCAGAAGCGGTAGGATATTTTGTAGGAACCATATCCAGCGTGTAGTATTTTTTTCTGAAAATTTACAGAAATATACATTATTTTATGAGGAATCAAAGTTGTATTCTAAGTTATAATTGGGTAACATCCAAAGAAGTTATAATGTTCTTTTTTTCCGTAATTCAGACAATGGTCATAGCATTGTAGCAGTACATTATCTGTGGAATACTTACTATTCCCAAATGTTTTTGTGAAGTCTATGGGATACTGCTTATAATTTAAAAGTGCTTGATCTTCTTGAGATGGAAATGTTGTTGAATTCAAAGCTAACCTAAAAATGTTAAGTAGCAAAATGTCTGAGGTGTTACAAGTGTAGAAGGTGTGGATGTTGTTCACAAAGCCATAAAAGTGGTCAAAGAAGCTTTCATGGAGGAGATGCTATCAAGTACCCAAAGAGAAGTATGTCTGCGTATCTGAGTGGTAATCCTATGCATGTATCCAATGGCTTGCCTTTATATGGGGTTGAGAGCAGAAGGAAAAATAACGATTTAAGATCAGGTAAGAAACAGATTGCAAAGAGTTTTTTGAGTGAAGTGTAAGAATATTTCATGAATAAGAGGAAATAGGAGTACTAAAATATTGATAAAATAGCATGACCATAGTGTGCAAGTGGTCCATATTGGTAAGATAGAAACATCTTAATGGCTACTCAGACCAAAGAGAACAGCACAACAAAATGATTTCTGCATCTTTTGGATTTCTGGATCTCGTGGGATATCCCTACAACCTACCAAAATAGTCACATTTTATGCCGTTGAGTCAAAGATTGCTTGTTACTGTATTTCTGAATTGGTTATAATACAGGTAAGTATAATTTGTTACAATTTTTCGTTATAAAATTGTTTTTGTTTTTTTTCTAAATATTGAGCTGTTATTTTTCCTATATTTTTTTAATAATGTAGGTCTTACAAACTAACACAGTTGTTTATTCACTGAATAGAGTTGCTGTAGTATGCATTAATTGAATTAATAAGATAGAAGTAAATTTTTTCTTCACAATTTTGAGATTGGTAATAAAGTAGTTTTCAGTTTGGGCTCACTATTTATATTTATAAGTTGGTAAGGAATTACATGACACCCTACAAAACAAAATGTTTATCTTCTTCTCATGTTGGGAATGATAAAGTAGATTTAACAAGCTCATGTAGCTCTGGTAAGACTGAATTTTCATACATTTTGGTTATTTTAAAAATATGTATATAACTTCAGTAATAATTGAAAAGTCTTGCAGGAAACAGTGCTCTTGATTGGTTGTGATGATGTTCAGATTAAGTTTGATAAAGAAAGCTTTTAACCCTTTAATTGTTTTGTAAATTGAAAGATTTGAATAAATTCATTTTGTTGTGAGCTCTGTTGGTTTTTATCTTTTGTCAAATTCATAGCAGAAACCCCACCACCTGCCTATAGCCCACATGATGATAGCCAGCAAGGAAGTGAAAGCAGTCATCAGGCAATGGATACTTCGAACATACGTCCTGGTATGTGTTTGTAGTATTAGTACTTTTCTACATGTTATATGAATTGTTAGAAAAACTTGAATAATATTTACCTAATGGATTGAAATTAAAGTTGGACAAAATAAATTTGATATTATATTCATTATTGTTATTTTTGTAACAGGTGCATTTAACTATAGAATAAAAAAGATGTATCAACATACGGTAAATAGATTGTTACTAAGGGACTGTGAAAATTAACAACAAAAACACAGAAAGAGCCAAAAACACATTTCAAAGTTGAAGATGAAATAACATTTAAAAAACGTAAAATCCTTTCTGAAATTTTATCAATCAAATTCTTGCTTCTAAAGAAAGAGAGAACTTGTATTCCAGTGGCTATTTTGGACATTATTATTTTAATGTATTCCATTTTTTAATGGTAGTTTTGTAAATTTAATCAACCACTTATAATCAAATGATCATTTGTTTTGGCTATTTTTATTTAATTTTTAAATTATTCAATAACAACAAAAAAACTTACCTTCATACAATTAAATTTGAATACAAGATGCCATTAAGTTTGACAATGTAAAATTTACAGTTACTTGCTACTTTTTTATCAATTAACTCTAAAACAACAACTGCTAATTACGGTAAAGATAAAGTTTATTTTATAGTTACATTTATTGACAGAAGTATAGAACTGATTAGATTAGAATCTATGATTAGAAACACTTCTGTGCAATAGTTATTACTTATCACTTGCACAATTAAATATGAAACTATTATCTACTCTTGCAAGAGGGACACTGGCAGCAGAATCTTTAATAATAATAATAATGTGTTAGATAACATAACCAAAGAGGAAATACACAACACTTTACCATCTCATAATAAATATAATCATTGCCTTACATTTATTTTCTGATTGACAACATAGTTGATATTGATGATTTTCGACTCTTCATAAGCAAAGTTACTAAATTTCAAGAAAATTTTGAAGTTAACTGGAATTTCACAAAACAGATAATTAGTAAATCTCTAATTACTTTCACATAAATGGTATAAAAGGAGAACTTAAAATTAACCCTATTTAATGGATTGTTAAACAGAGTAAAGGAAATCCATTATATATATATTACAACTTTATGTAAAGAACTAGGGTTTAATGTATAAACACTAGAACCTACAGGTGACAAGTTGCATAAGCATATTAAAATCACTAAAGAAAGTATGCACAAACAATTACTGTTTTATCAGACTTTGGTGTACACCCTGAAAAATCTAATACCTTAATTATTATATTCTCAAACTAGATAAATCACCATACAACCACAGGTTCATTGTTGATGCTAAAAAAGCTATCACTAAGGGTTATCAGTTCTAGTTGGTAAATGGCTAAAATACATTAAAGAGTATTTAAGCAAGAATTGTAATATTATCATCTGTGGTTCCATTGGATATAAAGAGACAATTTAAGACTAAGCCAAAAACAGTAGAAACTTTTTATTTTAATGATCTTTACTCTAATACTCCTATTGATCAAATTAAAGCATTTTTCATCAGCAAGTTCAAGATTATTTAAGAATTTTGTTAAACACTTTGTATAGGTAAACTTAGGTGTTTCTATAATAATGTTATTCATAATAAATATTGTTTTACAAATAAACAAATTCTTATAAGCCAAATATTTTTTACTTGACAACACATTTATAAATTTAAACCAACATGTCTTTCAGCAAATACAGGGAATACATGTAATCGATAATTTCAGCCAACAACTTGTAGATTTGCATGTATTCAAACTTGAATTTTCATGTTAAATAAACATATCTTGATATTTTAAATAAAAACTGTAATCATGCTTTACAAACTAGTCATGCTTGTAGATATATTGATAATATCCTTATATCTAATTATTAAGGTTTGCTTGACACAGCTGAACAAATACATCCACCATAACTTACAAACATAGCACAGTATACCTGGATTTAGTATAAGCATAGTTAATCAAACATTCAAGCTCAAAATTTTCAGTGAAACAGATGCATCAAACTTTGAAATTAAAATTTTCCATTGAATTATGCTACAGTGTTTACTACTCACAGCTTATTTGACACAGTAGGATTTGCTTAGTGTTACAAGGTTTCATTAGATAGAATTCATAAACTCTGTCATTTTTCACATATGAGGTTTCTGTTATCACATTTTGAACACCAGATTTATCCATTTTTTGGTAAATTCAACAGTCTTCTTGCAACCAATTATGGGATTCATAATTTTACAAAATATTGTGACCTTTTCAAACCTATGACTTCTACACCTAATTACTTAACAGTTTTTTTAAGGTAATAATTAACAACTTTAGTTGATCAACTGCTATTAGTTTTAAGCTCTTGCTGTAGTTGATGTAATCAGTATAGCATTTATATTACATAACATGTCATTAGTTTAGTTATATTGCTTTATGTTAATTTCTTTGTCATGTTTACCATTATTTGTTTAATTCTTATTTTTATTGTGGTCTTTCTCATATCTTATTTTTGTTTATACATTTTGCTTACTTTTTAGAATTGAACTGAATTTATTATTTCTGAGTCCGTGTTTTTGGTAAGGATAGTTGAAGTCTGGATTAGTTGTGTTAAACACAGCCCATAATATGTAAAGTAAACCATTTTTCTTTTTGTTAAATATAACTTTACTATTTTCATCAGAATGTTATATTGTCAGTACATATTGCACATTTATGTTAATTATTTATTCTCTTCCTTTGTGAATATTAGATTTTTGTTGTACTATCTGTACAATTCCACTATTCAAATAAAGTTAAATAAACATGTAGATCTGTCTCAGATGTTAAACTATTATAATGTTACACTTTTAGAACTGTTAAATAGTTTTGCATTTACTGGTGCCATGATTTTCAAGTGACAAGAAATCAGTGATAGTGCATGAAACAAACACCTTGTTTTTATGTGTTTTGAAATTATTTTTAATCTTTCTTTAATGTTAGTTTCGTTAACAGTGTTGGGGTCATTAAAAAAAAAAGTGTTATGTTAACATGGCACAATTAAACAGTTTGCAGCCATGTTTCTTCTAAATGTTCTTTTTGTGCATGTAATAATTCTAGTCAATCAGAACCAAGAACACTGTTTATGGTGAGATCACTCAATAATCTTTCACTGGAAATAATAAAATCTTAGAAAAGTCTGATGAGGGATGGTTGATTGTTAACAAAGTGCGATCTACAATAAACAAACCTTTTTAATCAACAGAGACTCTAAATTAAGAAATCAACAAATATTTTTCAATTTTGTAGTTTATACATTTCATTTTGTACTTTCAGTATATAGAATAACAACAATATTAGGTTATACTTTTGTTGCTAAGCGACATGACAAAAGCCATTGTTGGAATGCATTTTTACACTGACTTTTCTTTATATATTAGAAGTTATTATATAAGAAACCACTTCTTTTCCATGTGGTTTTTCACTAGCTTGTCTCGTTAAAAAGATGTACATGTGTGCATGCACATGGATAAGTAATAATACCCAGATGCACACCCTCAGGGTCCACTTAGTATGAGTACAAAATTTCAGGTTTCTAGGTTCTTTTCTCTTAGAGCTATGGTGGTTACATTTCTTTTCTATGTGGTGTTCACTAGCTTGCCTAATAAAAAAGATGTGCACATGCATGCACATTGGTAAGTAATAATACGCAGGTGCACTTAGTATGGGTGCAAAATTTCAGGTTTCGAGGTTCTTTCCTTTTGGAGCTATGACAGTCACAGACATTCCCTTTCATTATTATAAATAGCAAAGATACCCAACTAATGAATCAATGCTTTCTAATCATTATAATTAAAAATGTCATATTATATTAGCTGTATTAATTACTGGGTTACTTCATAGTAGTGCTCTATGTAAATAGCTTGTTTTGATCAGAAGTTAAGAATAATTGCTTGGAGTCTTCATATAGGATATTTTTTCACAAATGCTGTTGCCAGCTCTTTTTGTCATATTCTTGTTAATGCTCCAAATCAGAACACTTTCTTTAAAAAATTTCTTTATAATTTATTTAGAAAATGTATAGTACATATTTTAAGTTTTTACATAAAAATTAATGGTTCTTTAACCTTATCAACAATACTTACCTTTTTTTAAGTAATAACTGTGTTTTTGTAGATGTATCTCCAGTCACATATTCAGAGCCTCAATATTGGTGTTCCGTTGCATATTATGAACTGAATTCCCGTGTAGGAGAAGTTTTCCATACACATCATCACAGCGTTATTATAGATGGCTTTACAGATCCATCAAACAATAACAACAGATTTTGTCTTGGGTTGTTGTCAAATGTAAATAGAAACTCTACAATTGAGAATACACGACGCCATATTGGAAAAGGTTGGGTTTTTTTCTTGTCTTTTAAAATACTGAATTTTATATTAGTTCAATGACTTTATTACTATGATCTATATATATCAAAACCTTTGTCTCTCTTATGAGATGAAGACATTCTGATAATATGATGTACATTTGAATTAAATAATTTATAATTTATTACCCAATGAAACATGATATTATGTATATATACTATTCCATTCTAGATCTTGTAATTGTTTAGGATTGAATTTTTCAACTAAAAAAACAATTTTGTACTTTTTTGTTGGTAACCAACACAAGTTATTGATCACACCTCTTAACAATACTTGTTAATCCCTTTGTAAAAATTTACTGACTAGGAACTTGATTCAGAAAGACCACTTTTTCTTCTTTTTTTTTGCATTAAAAAAAGGAAATGTACACAGATGGTGTTCAGATGATATTATTAGTTACATTGGGTTTACAGTTACTAAAATCAAAGTGATAGAAGCATTTATTCTTCAAATTCCAGTTACTGTTCACTTCAGCTCTTATTACTATAGTGCTGAGACTGTAAGTCAGGCATTTGTAACAAGAGAACATTTTTATATCATCATAATTACATATCACATTCAGTATTTCTGATTTCATTCAGGGGTGACATTAAACATTTTTACTTGGTTGTCCCTGTTTGGCAATAATGTTAATTTCAGTGGTGAAAGTTTTAATATTACTTAATTTCAAAATCACATATTATATTTTAATGATATTAGATGTATTATGAATACTAATTTTCTTTGGTATTATGAAGAAAATTATATTACACACTTGATTTTACCTTAAAATATATTTAGTGATTTTCAAGAATGTATGTTTTATATTCCAGTGAGTGTAAGCATGAAGACATTAAATATTCTTAAAGCACTTAAGATTTTTAAGATTTTTTTTTCAATGTTTTTTATAAAGATAACTTTTTTTAAAATTAGGTGTTCACATGTATTATGTGGGAGGAGAAATTTATGCTGAATGCCTTAGCGATAGTGCCATTTTTGTACAGAGTCGTAACTGTAATCATTCACATGGTTTCCATCCTACTACAGTGTGTAAAATACCTCCTGGGTGTAGCTTGAAAATTTTCAATAACCAGGTGAGGAAATACAACATACTTAAAGTTCAGTTATTAAAATGCCCCTTGCTTAAGGAGCGAATTATGTTCAAACAACTACTGATGTTAAATATTCTTACTTTTAGATAAGACATTGAATATAAGCTATCTGGTAGCTTAGCAGTATGTAAAAAACAATTTTATAAATGATGAAAGTGGAGAAAATTATTGATTTAGAACAATGCATGTGTACATGTGTTTTACAATACTAAGTCTGTATGGTGAATTCTATCCAGCTAAAGAATAAAGAAAGGCAGCCTAACAACATAGTAAAGAAACTGATTTTCCCATAAATATAATTACTTTTTTTCAATCCAAAAATTTGTCTGAGTTTATATAGATTAATATAAAAAAACTATAATACAAAGGTATTTTATAATTAAAGAACTTGAGGCATTTAATAATATATCCTTTGTACTTCTAATATTGTTTTGTTAATTTTATTTAATATGAAAAAAAAAAGAACATGAACTTATTGTTGTAAAGAACTACATTAATCCTACTGTAATGATATTTTTCTAATTCTTTTTATGTACTCTTCTTTATACAAGTTGTTTCAATCATAGGCCTACTTCAGATGTAAATGGAAAAGTTAGCAAAAACGAAATTAATATGTCCTTATATGATCTTCAAAGTGTGTGTAACAATGTGAGTTAAAGGTCATTATGGTGTAACTCTCAAATAGATTTGTTTAGAAATTCCATGTTATTAATCATGATTATACAAGTTTTGTTGTGTGTACAACTGTTTATAGTATATATTTTATAGCTGTATGTTGAATCATTATTGATAAAAAAAAAGTCATTTGTATAGTTTTTATTACAGATTACTGTTTACAATTTCATTTGCAGGAGTTTGCTCAGTTGTTAAGTCAAGCAGTAAATCATGGATTTGAAGCAGTGTATGAATTAACAAAGATGTGCACCATTCGCATGAGTTTTGTCAAAGGCTGGGGAGCTGAATATCATCGTCAGGATGTTACATCCACACCATGCTGGATTGAAATCCATCTTCATGGACCTCTGCAGTGGCTGGATAAAGTACTAACTCAAATGGGCTCACCACACAATCCAATCTCCTCAGTCTCATGACAGAGGAATATTATTCTTGGTTGGATTTTTATGCATGTGTATGTGTGTAAGTGGTCACAGTTAAGATTCTACAGAATTTTGTTTTTCAAAACAAAAATTAACTGTTTTGTTTTTCTTCTCATGAAATAAAAGTTTAATCATTCAAATTTAACTTTTTATGATAATTTTTTAAGAAAAATATTTTTATTACTGTAATAATCTTTTTATGAATGTCAAAAGATAAGTCAAACTGTAAATGAAAATTTTTAATTGTATGTGAAATTTCACCATTTAAAAAGTTTTATAATTCAAGTTCAGCAAATACCATGCCAATCTCAATTCATCATTTTTATTTGTACATAGTTCATTAAAATGTATCTAGTATTTTAACCAGATGTGTTTTTTTATACTTGATACATCATAGTTCATGCTTAATAGTATAGAAAACTTTTTGAGTGCCATGGAAACTAGTAAAGTGACTGTAAATTACGTATTTATGTCATTAAGGATGTATCTTGAAATTTTTTATAGTCATTCATGTGATACTTTTCTATCACCTGTAAAACTATTTTCATTCCAGAACTTGTTTTCTGAGAATACATGTGAAAGTTGTGATGTTTATAAAAGTAGTAAAAACCACATAGATTGTGCTAATTAAAGTAGTTTGTAAGTACTATATCCTTTAGTACATTTTCAGCTCTGGTTGCCACTTTTTATCAACTGTAAGTGTTACTTTGGGTATTTAAAAACATGAAAGTGTATTTTTCAAAATTGTTTAATTTGAAAATCAAGGGTAGAAATTTGATCCATTATCAATAGGCTTTCCACTACAGATTTGTTGCTAAGAATTGTGTTGTTTTTTAGAATAAAACCAGTAAAGTAGGTAAAAATTATACAGATATGTTTTATATAAGAGTATATGAACTAATTTTAATGATATTAAAGGGTTATTATGATTCTCGGATTAAGGTATCTAACATCAATTTCTGCACTGTTACATGTCTTACTCAGCCTTTTGCTTTTTTTCCATAATGTCTTTTAGTTATGTATCATCTAAATTTTAAACAGCAGTTTCTACTTCCAGTACAAGTAGGTTCTGCAACAAATTATCATGAACTATTAATCATTCTTTAAAGTTTACTTAGTATATTCCATGATTACAACTAACTACCAGCATACAAATTAATAATTATTGTTTTAAGCTTTACAGTTAATAGAAACATACTGTATTAGCAGCTTCAGTGAATATTTGTTGTTGTTGTTGTATCTTTCTTTGTTACAAGAAACAGAAGAAACTGACAAACCAAATGAAAGTCTTTAATGTGAAACTTTATCAGTTAACATGATCAGTTCTGGAATAACATTGTTCTTGGTATTTATTTTCTGTGAAAAAATGAGTCCTAGATTGTTTATTGATTAATTTCAAGTCGTTCATATGTTTGTTTTAATAAATTTTTTGTAATATTAACTTGTTCTTTTGCTTTATATTTATTAGGTTTGGTAAATTCTCTAATTGTATTTGCTCTGTACACAGTGGTGATAAGGTTAGTCATAATTATTTGTTAAAGTAGTTAACATTTAATCTTACATATAGAACAAACGAAATAGTACTGATATTTAAAATGTTTATAATTGAGGTATTTAAAGTTATTGAAACATTTTTTCACAATGTAGAGAACTGTTATGTTGCATTTGGTGGTTTTCTGTCTTTAATTTGGTACCACATGAATTGTTTATTTTGTAATAGGTGATATATACACATGCATACTTTCTTTTATATGTAATTAAAGAAAGAAAAAAATTGTATTTTAAATGGCATATTTAGTTTATGCCAAGAGGAATATAACCTTTATTTTTAGTTCAACAGTGAATATTTTCTGACTTAATTAACTGCATAAACAATATTGACTTGTATTAATTCTTTGAAAGAAACTGTTATGTATTTGTTTTAGACTCTTTTGTAAGTAGTTTCTTTAATTGATAAGACATCAAGCTTTGCATTTCATGTTGAAGCCACATACTTTTTTTGCAAAAATTATCAAGTATACCAAGTCAACATTACTTTTATTCATTATTGATACTTTTGGGAATTTTTTTACATTTTTATTTTTTGAAGAAACTTGTTAAAGCAGAATGTTTCTGTTTCAAATGTGAACTTGAAAAGATATTGATTTAGTATAGTATAATGGCATTTAATTTTTGTTGGGTATTTTTCTTGTTTCCATAATGGTGTGAAGTATGCCAATTATGGCATTAGGGAAGTCTTATTTACACTTTTCTATCCCTTTTTTATGGTAGGACTGTACACCTGCATTTTCTACTCCTAGGAAACATATGAGCATACTTTGACAAGGTTTTTTACACTGAATTTAAGGATACACATTTCTAGATTTTTTATTCAATTAAATATACAATGAATAAATCAAATATAAAAATTTTGATATTCTGTCAAATTTCTGTGGTTCCTGGGAATACAAAATGGTTAAAAATCTTTTAATAATGATTTGGTGTTAATCTAGTTTTACTTTGACATTTAATTTTCATGGCTATTTCACTTCTTTCTGTTATTTGCAATATCACTATTACAACATTTAGAAGTCTTTTTTTTAACAAATTAAGTAACGTTTCTTTTATCAACATCGTATAAATTTTTCAGTTTATGTAAAATTTGATTGACAAGTTAGACCACAATGAGCTTTATAAACATTTTCATTAAATTTTAAGATTAACTGGTTTTAAAAATAAATAGCTACCTTTGCCACAATATCAGTGTAATATTCTAATTACAATGTAGTTAAGACATTTTGACTTACTGGTGTTAAATTTATAACCTTGGAGAAGAAATATATGCTTCATTCATTATATTAATGATTCTGTATTTAATTCTAACTTTCATTTTGACAAAAAAACCTTTGCCAAACACTTTTCACCAAATTGCAGTGCATGATAATTCTATAATGCCAAAGTTTACACTTGAAAGAGTGTTAATGTTCTGTCCAACTTTGATTTTCATGTTTTATATGTAGTTTGTAAATGAATTGTTCAGTATATGAAAAAGAAAAATGTTCCTGTTACATCCCTGGAGTATGTGTAACTTTAAAGTGTACTTTGAAATAAAGTTTTGCAAGTATGTTGTTTTGTCGTCGTTGTTTTTCTCAACTAATTGTAGCTGATTATTATTACCAATTGCCATACAACTTATTACCCATAATGCAAATATCATAGTTAAACACAGGATAATCCTTGGATAAAGCTTTTGAGAAATGTAATTAGTTTTGAATCTTTTTATTAATAGTAACCTGTAATAAAATTAGTTTTGAAGTCTTTGTTTTTTATTTGGTAATTAGTGGATTAATGAAGGGGCATTGATTCACTTTACTACCTCAGTCAATGGTGTATACATATTCCAAATTAATATACTCATCCCATTGTTTGTGTTATTGCAGACTTGATTTATTATCTATGACATATTTTCTAGTGAGTAAAAAAGAGATGACTATTTGAACAACAACAAGCATCTCTTACACATTATTACTTGTAGTTTATATGAAACAACCAATTTTCATTTGTGGAGTTTGGAGCTGTGGTTTGTTTTTACAACACATTTTTTGATATTTTGTGACTTTCTCCACAACTCTAAACAAATTTAGGAAATATCTAAAATAACAAGGTCACAATTTGGAAAGATAATGATAAACTAAATTCTGATGGTTTAAGACCAGTTTTGGATTATGAAAATTTGACTTACTCTCTTATCGTCAGGTTGAGAACTTGTTAGTTTTTAATTTTAACGAGTTATCCAACTCTTACCTTTGTCCATATCTATAAAAAAAACTTGTATTCTATTTATGATGCTTGTCGTTTTAATAGTTTTCTTTTCATACTCAAATCCCATTCTTACACTTAGTTTCTAAGCAGAATTATTTTTATTTGAAGTTGGTGAAAATATTTTAAATTTAGTAATTAAGTTTTAAAAGAAAAAATGCTTCATCATTAAATACTTGAAAGTACAGTCCTACAAAGTGTTTTATTCTTTAGTTTACTAAGCTTTTTATTTTTATTACCTATTTGGACATCATGCATTTAATCATGAGAAATGACACTATATGTATTTTTGTATATTGATTTTTGCATATTCAAATCACCAGGTGAGTTGGCTATTAGTTTATGGACTTGCAGCAATGAAATTCAGGTTCTGATTCCCTGCAATGGACACTGTGCAGATAGCATATTGTATAGCTTTGCAGTAAAACAAACAAATTATATCATTATTATAAAGCACTAAAAGTTGAAATGTAAACGAAATGAGTACAATGCAAAATTGTATCAATAAAGTTAAAAAGTCGTATATAACTATAATAATATCTTGGAATGCACTTACACACAACGATCTTATACTTTTCACAACTGTTCCTAAACTTTTTGTCCATTTCTTTAGATCAGTACTTGAACGATAACATTTTCTAGTAATGGTAGTCTGATTTTACAGTAGATAATGGATTCTGTTACACTTAAATACCAACTTTTATCTTTAGTTGAATTAACTCTTTATATCAGCATTTGCAGGAAAAGGTATTTCTTAAATGGCTTTCCTTTATATTAAGATGAATCAACAAAATAAAATATTTAAGTAACATATATCTGTCATGTAAGAAAAGAAACAGACCATCGTTTTGTCTTCCATTTAGTTGAGAAGCCTCTTAACGTTTGGTCAACAGTATGGAACTGTTAGAATGAAGAATCATCTTTTAGATTTTTTATTGCTGCCATATTGTTATCAATGTCTGGCCATTCATGCAAAGTACTTAGCAGCACAACTTTTTATTAAGAGCAAAATTAATTAAGAACTTTGCACATATTTTACGAACACCATACGAGATGGCAGTTCAACGCATATTTATTCTTACTGTACTACATATTGTGAGTTTCATATACATTAATTTCTTCAGTTTTTAACTCGGAGAGAAATGATCACAAATTACGTTACGCTCGATATTTTCTAGCCTTTAGATTGTGTCTGGCATAGCCTCTTTTTTGTGTTTTGTTCTTGTGCTTGTCTTTTTTCTTTATCTGTATGAACTTTCATATTATAAACATAAGATGTTTTATTATCACAAGAAACCCAAATTTTGATGTACACTTTCAAGATTTGCTTGGAAATATAGTTCCTGCAATGTGACAAGATCTTTTAAAGATCACATTTTCTGATGCTACATAACATAGTCGAAGAGTCTGTGTTCATTGACTAAAAATGCTTTTTTATAGGATCAACTTTTTATTTTGTTTACTTTTTTCTATTCTTCAACAATATCAAACTGAATGCATGTTAAAATTTATTATGTGCCAATGTTCATGGAAAAACTGGTCTACTGTTCCGATTCAAAAGCTATTTTCTTCCTCTGTTCTTTGATGTATAAACATGAGCTAGTCCCATACACTAAATAAACATTGCACTTCGTTAGAGTCCAAATGCTTCTATTTTGCTTCATGAAGCGTCTCCTTGTTTTCCTATTTAAGGATTTTTTTTTATAATGCCCTTTTTCACAAATAGATTCAACACAGATAACTTTGTATCTATTTATTTTTGCGTATCCAGTTAAACCTGGTGTTTCTTTGTCAACATTTACATTTGACCTTTACCCAGTTGGATGCTTACATGGTATTGTAAACCGTTTCATTTCTTTATTTTTTTTAACAAATACACCACCATTTCTTTAGCATCACCAATATAATTTTCATTAAAAGTATCATTTTCATGTGTCTTGTATCACTAGCATTTTTTATCAACTAATAGATTACCTTATTCACTTTCACAACTTCATTCCGCATAGTCTTCGCAAGACTTGTAAGGAGACTGAAATAAATGAATTTCACACTAGAAGCTTGGCCTTTTATGCATGTAAATGATAACTTAGTGTGATTCAGTAAGAAGGTTGACTCAATATGGTTCAATAAAATCACTGCGTATTGCATCATATTGAGTAATTTTATGCTTTTGCCTGTCACTCATTGTAAAAACTGACAAACATTTTATCAAATCTTTTTTCTTTTTTTTTCACAAAATACGTTATGGACCTTGGCAGTAATATTTCTTGGTTGCTTCGACCGCACCCATTTTTTTTTTATTTAACAACAGTATACAATATATTCTCAAATAGTTGTCAAACATTTTAATATTTATTATTAGAATTCCATTAAATTAAATTTTAAAGCAATCTTTGAAACTGGAGGTGATAGTTTTTTTTTCAATTTCTTATAATATATCCATTGAAATCTTCTTGGTCGCGCACCACTAGTCCTTGCGTGCTTCGTAGCCAGGTAGATTTGACCATTTGATTTAGGTAATCTGGGATACACCAGTGAATGTACTGAGTGCTCCATAATAAATATGTTATGTTAATATTACTTCTCAAGACACTTTCTGCTGACTCAATGGTAAGTTTGTGGGTTTTAATACCTGCGGAGGGAAGAGCACAGTTAACCCTCACAGAAGTTTTGTGCTTAACAGCAAACATTACAAAACAGTTGATCTTGTGCTTGATAACAATTGCATAAAGAATACACTTTCTACTTTGTTTTCTTATTGTTGTTTTTCAGGCAGCTAGAAAATTTTGAAGAATGATTATATGTAATTTTGGAACAGTTAATCTATCATATGATAACTTTTTTCTATCTTTGATTATCATATATTTTGTAAGATATATGAGAATTAAATTACAATATATCTTTCGCTAACGCACAATTTCATGTATACACTGTTAGCATAAAATTAGCTGGCCACTCAAATCCAAATATAGCCATCAGTACGCTGTGAAATTCTGTATAGATACTAAACAGGTAATACAAAAAGGTTAATGGTAAGAAATATACACCAGAGGACGCTATTAATTAAAGACTGCATTTTTATCTACGTAATAGCCTTTGTTGTCCACAACAGTAACAATTTGAAAGAGCATTAGTTATATGACATTGATATACAGCATGCACATTGACACCAAGTTGGCAAACCAACGGCTTAATGTAACCCCAAAGCCAAGTATCAACAGAATCAAACTGAGGGAATGCGCTTGCTTTGTGATGGGAAAACGTCTTCAATCTCTGAATGCATTTTACGCTTAACAAGTTATGAAGAATACCTCTTCATCCAAAACAGCTCTTCCCTACAGTTGAGGAATAACATGATTTTTCAATATGGATTTGTCATTTAGTGTATATAGTGCATATTGGTGTATAGAAGACATTTTAATTATTTTATTTTTTCATCTTCACTTTTGTTATTTCAACTTGTAACTTTGATAGAACTTTTGTTTATTACTGTTACGTATTTGAATTTCGAATAGTCTGAAGCCGAGTTAACTGATAATTTAAATTTAGTAGTTAAATTGTACTTTGGATTTAGTATTTAAATATATGCCGATATATTAGTTAATTTTCGATATTTGCCAACAAGATTGATACACACCGTCTTCGTTTTTAACACAAATACGTTTTAATATACACACAACAATACAATTTACAGTAACAATTATTACAAATATTTATTACAAACAAAGATTTATAAACAAAAGTTTCACAAACTTACAAACAATATAAAATCATCTTTCTAGTTTGGAACTCTCTTGATATCTTATCGAGGGTTTACGTTGAGCGAGATAATTACAAGTTGATCTAAGTACGATTTGCCGAAAAGCTAGCTAGCTTTGTTCTCTCACTGATCAAACGCCGATTTTTCCACCGTTGAAATTAGGTAATGTTTCCATAAAAATACTGATGTCCGATGAGAATCCACTGAAGTTAAATGAGTTGTAGTGTTCGAATTTTGTAAATGCTCCTGGTCAAATATCTTAAGTTTTCCGATTCATAAGCGTTATAAAAATCACAGTTATAGCTTTCGAAGTTTATAGCACATTGATTATAGCAAACTACTAATAGACACTTTTTTTCTTTTTGGCGCGTCGCGTTGGTTATATTTATAGCCGTGGGAAGGTTTTCTAGAAAATTTAGTCTTACGTAACAATACTGATTAAAGCGTTTACGTACATACATATACTTTTGATTCTTCCTCTCGAGAATCTTCTACAACTTTGGAGAATAGGCGGGAGTTTCGCAATACTTATCTAACACTACAAG